ATCACGGGTCTCTGTGTTTTTGTTGAACAGATGAGAACTTAGAATCTCTGTAGATATTATTCACATACATAAGCAGAACAGTGTCTGACAGTGCTACCATAATTACCGCATTTTCAGTTTTTGCCGACTTTCCGCGAGTTTTCGTGGTGAAAGCTGTGAATCACATTTATACACGTATCGGCACGGTCAGCGGTCAACGTTTTTGTACGACAAACATTTCATTTCAGGAATGCACTGTTTGGAACAAAGCATTATGAAGTCCTTCATAAATTATTCACATAAATTTCACCGTCTCAGATGGCAACTGGGAAAGAGTATCACCTTGTATTATGCGCATTCATTCGTTCAATAAAACTGTTAATTAGATCAACTTTGGCATAATAATCATGTGCAATTTGCAGCTTCTGCATATTTCTCAATTCGACCTTCCTCGGGCTCCCTCCTAAAAAAACAAAATTATATAATTAAAAAATTATGCGCTGTTTAGTTCAATTAAACTGTCTAATCAGTTGTAACTGAAAGCAAAGCCGTGATAAACGATCGCCCGCAAAACTAATAAAATCAATTAAAATTTAAGATTTTTTCACTTAAGATTTTTAACGAATGATAAGAATTTCTACAGCTGTTTTACAAACTGCACTATGTGAAAAAAAGTCTCATTACCGAGAAGTGTTCGCAAATATGTAGTAGCCAGTACTACTAACGCAGTTGAATTCAGCTGTTCGTTCAACTTGCCTAAATCAAATTATTATTATTATTGTTGTTATTATTATTATTATTATTATTATTATTATTATTATTATTATTATTACAATAATAACGGTGGCATTAATAACTATAATAACAGCATTAACAACAATAATAATAATAATGATAACATAGAAGTGGTAACATTGATGGTCGTTGAAATCCACGAGAATGCGCTCCAGCGACCTAGTAATGTGTTCTACCTGTATGGACAAAGTGATTAGCTGATAAACAAATTATTCATTTGATAATTGTTGCCTTACTTTTGAAAAAATTTAGCAGCTGTCGTTTTCTCCTCTTGCTATATTTAGCCGGCTTGGTCTTCTGCGTCCACCTTCGTTCAGCTCCCAGGTGAGCTTTTCTTTCAAACCTAAAAAGCTGTTGTCGAGTTTTTTGAGATTTCTTGAAGAAACTCTTAAGAAAATGAAAAATAAAGCTTAAAATAACCTTCGCAAAACAGACATGACAGCCTTCATCCTGTTCCTTGAATACCATGAACGCACACTGGCGTTTCCTTGCTTCTTGCGTTTTGTAGCGCTACTTCGTAACGCAGTAAGTGGCTAAATAGTACCATAATCGAAAAATATTACAATGGATAATGTAAAATACTGAAAAAAAAAGGATTTAAAAAAGTGATGTGAACTGGTATAGCCCGTGGAACAAATCATCTTGCAGCTTCTGGCACGATGACCTTGGGCCTAGCTCTCTTTACTCATGCGTGATTGGAATACACTTAAAAAAGTTCCTCTTTTTCGTTCACGAAAAACTGTTGCACCGAAAAGATCTGTGGTACCATTTGTAGTAAATTCTGGCCTGATCACTGTGCCTGTGGCTTAAATGAAACTCCTTTGAAAAAATGAAGAGAGGAAGAAAGTCTGTGCTAAGAAGGGCACTGACCGGGAGAAAGAAGAGGGGAAGTATGGAATTAACAAAAAAAAATTTCCCCTAAAATCTCTGAAACTTTGTTAATTCATAGTTTGGTTCTCCAGCTATGCAACTGAGAAC